TAAGTATTTTACGTTTTGTCAGTTTAGTGGCTAATGCTTATGAATTCGTATAAGTTCAGTCGTACGAAAACGTATGATTTTAAAAGGGAGGCGTCACACCTAACCCCGCCCCTAATCCCAACCGTCATTGGATGATGAGCAAATCGTACTAAATTGTACGAATAAGATCGTACGAATTCATACGAATTAGCCACTAAATCAAAAAGTAACAAATTGCTGTGAGATTGTGTTGGTTTCACACAGCCGACACCCTTCCAGCCGCAACCTAGTTCTGGGAAACATCTATACATTCAGACATCCACTCAGCCAATTTTGCTTTTGTCCAATTCACCTATAGTGCAAGTCCTTAGACTATGGGGAGCACCCGGAGGAAACCCACGTGAACACGAGGAGAACATATAAACTCCACACAGAAACGCCAACTGAACCAGCGACCTTCTTGCTGTGAGGCAACAGTGCTAACCACTGAGCCACCATGTTTAACACTAGAACCGCCATGGGGTCAGTTTTACCCATCACTGTTATTCAAATGTACATAACAGACCTTCAATAAAACGTTCAAGCCTTCCAGTCATTGACTTTTACTAAAATTGCGTTATGTACAATACCCAGACATTAAAAATTGTTTAGATGAAAATAAATTAAAAAGTGGGACATTTATACCAATAAACTTTTACTTTACAATTTTGCTCACTGAATTAGTGGTTATAATAAATGAATAAAGTCACAATGACTAAACAATAGCCATTTGTAGAGCTAATAAAATCATAAAATGCAATGAATGGTGGAGAGTCTGTAGAAATAAGTTATGCATCAGAGTATGGTGGCTCAAATTTAGATAAGTTAACCTACTCATAACCTACTCCTAAAAGAATTTTGTTATCTGAACTGAACTGAATTGAATTGGAGTTAAATTGAATTGAAAGTTCAAATCTTTTGTAAAGTAATGGGTCAGGGTGTGTTGTAACTTAACAAATAACACGTATTTGCCTGGTGTAAATTAGTGTGTGACAAACGCTCTTGTGAGGAGAGGAAAATCTAGAGAATTATGTTTAATTAGTATTGTGCGAAGAGTATAAATTGTTAAAACCTCTCTCTCATGTCAGTTAACAAATTTCATCTTTGGTCAAGCAAAATAATTTATATTTACTTTTTATATTACAAGAAAAAAGATAGAAACGAGGAACGGTAAGAACATTGCATTCGTCTTTAAAAATCGAGTAAAATCAAGAATCATCGTTTATTTTAATTATTATGAAACGATCAATGCAGTTAATGTTTGTGAAATTGAATGGTTTTACCATGTTGGGTTGCGTTTTGTTATTAATGAAGAGTTGTTTTTAACAAATTAATTCATTTAATTTGTAAACATTCATTCATTCATTTTCTTGTCGGCTTAGTCCCTTTATTATTCCGGGGTCGCCACAGCGGAGTGAACCGCCAACTTATCCAGCAAGTTTTTACGCAGTGGATGCCCTTCCAGCCGCAACTTGTTTCTGGGAAATAATTTGTAAACAATTTGTTAAATAATTGCTTGTTAATAAAAACATTTGTAAAATCATAAATCTCTCCTCTCTCTCTCTCTCTCTCTCTCTCTCTCTCTCTCTCTCTCTCTGCCAAGCCTTCTACCCCTCCTCAAAAAGGGGAGGATGTCCCGTTATCTCCCGCGTTCCTGGGATGCATTCGACTAATTACAGGCTTTATGTGCCTCTGCTCTGGGGCTGATACCCCAATGAGGGTGGCTTTAGGGAGGGGTGGGGGGCAAATATCTCATCTGAGGGGCTAAATGTGGCCTAGAGAATAACATAAGGAGAGATTATATTTAGAGTGGATTTTAGTCTGGAAATTAATCGTGAAGGGGTGAAACGTGTGGAGCATAGCAAGCGTTAGTCCGTGCGACATCACAATAGCTTACGATTGGCTGTTTACGTGCAGGAAAAGCATTTACTGGCTTTCTAAAGGTTTATAAGCTCTTATGTACTGGCAAAGGCTCTAAGAAATGCTCCACTTACAGGCTCTGTGAAAAGGCCACACGTTTTCCCGAAAGTAATGAAAAGAGGCAGTCGGGAATGGTCTGTTTCACTGATGCATTTATGCTTGGGAATACAAGAGATGGTTTAAAAGAGGAATAGCTGATTGGCGTTTTATGAGATTTGACTGACAATTCTTTCACAAATAAAGGCAGATGCATTAAGTTACAAGATTAAGTGTTATATTGTTAATATAGTGGCTGGTAAATGTAAAAAATATATATAATAAAACAGTTTGCACATAAGAGTTTGTTCACAATTATATTAAAATATTAGGTAGCACTTTACGTCAGGGGTCACCAAACTTGTTCCTGGAGGGCCGGTCTACTGCAGATCTTAGCTCCAACCCTAATTAAACACACCTGAACAAGCTAATCAAGCTCTTACTTGGGCTGCATCCGAAACCGCATACTTCCATACTATATAGTACGCTAAAATCAGTATGCGAGCCGAGAAGTATGTCAGAATTCATAGAATTCGAAAAACAGTATGCGAGAAGTACCCAGAGAACTTACTACTTCCGTCGAGATTCTGGAGTGCGCATCCCATGCACGCTGCACTATCCCATAATGCCCCACGAGAGAATTCATGAATGGAAGTGAAGCGATGCAACTGACGCAGGTAGGTCACATGACCATGACAAAATGGCGAATGTAGTACTTCTGAATTCCATTCATACTTTTCACATTCATACTGTATAGAACGTACTTTTCTAACGGCCGAGCAGTACGTTTAAATTCAAATGCAGTACCTACTGAGTAGTAGGCAGTGTCGCACGCAGCCTAGGTAACTTGAAACATCCAGGCAGGTGTGTTGAGGCAAGTTGGAGCTAAACCCTGCAGGGACACCGGCACTCCAGGACCGAGATTGGTGACGCCTGCTTTACTTGAAGGGGTGTTCATAAGACATGCTTATGAACTATTTTTAAGTTGAATTTGCTCAGTTATGTAATTTTAAATACAAAGATGACAACGTTTGCTATGAAAAATTGACAAAAACAAATGTATAACGCTATTGATTCGTGAATCCACCAGAGGCCGTTTTGTACGTTTTTTTCTGATCTCAAATTTCTGTTGTGAGTGCCTGTTCCTTCTCTTCTCGCGTAAATCTGACTGACTGACCAACTGATTAAGTGGCCTAGTGGATGGGCCTGTGGGGTTACCGCATCTATCACCTCTACCTCCCGTGTCTTAAGTCCACCGACTTACATGGCGAGCTAAACTGGTAACAGCGAGAAAGCTGTCCACATGGAGGTAAGCGGTCAGGATGTAGCGCGAAAAAGGAATGGCGTCATACCGCCTCGTAGCATTTGTTTTAAAGATTAAATACAGCGCATACGTACTTCTGGCTACATAATTCACATTCTCCAGAAATGTCAATAGGGGGACGTTTTCAGAATGAGCCTATTTTGCAAATGGAACATACAGTATGTAATACCAAAATAATATATGAGTATAATTGTGATACATTTCTACCTTTACTTAATACATCCCTCCATATTTATGTTGAAATGTGAAATGATTTCATCCTTTAATGGCACTAAACTCTGAGTGGTGAATACAAACATAGTGCATTCTTCCTTAAATGACTACAAGAATAGTTAATGCATCTGTTAGTTAACCAGAATCATTAAGTGGGACTGAATTCATTAAATCCTGTACGATTCCCATCACGTCCTGCAGCTCTGTTTTAAGAGACCTTCATTCGAAATTGGATAAGAAAAGCTAGTAGCAATTCATTAGTATGTGAAAGCAGACAAAACCCTCTGTCCCAATGACATGATGCCAGGAAAGAGCTTTAATGCAAGTGTGTTAGACATCCATCGCTGTATATGGAAATGCAGTGCTCTTGATGAGAGGAAATAAGTGCTATTCAATTAGCTTTGAAACACTCGCATGTAATGGCTTTGACCTGTGTTTAGAACACAGCTACAGGTCTTACAAACCCACACACACATGCAGATGTTTGTATTAATGGTTTACAGGGACTCTTCATAGGCATAATGTATTTAATACAGTAAAATTTGAATGCCAATGTTATACAGTAATTTTTAAATGTCAAATGACCTCATTAAGTAGGCCATTATAATAGGTTAAGGTCCTTATAATAAGTTAAATCTTGCATAACTTAAAAAACCCTAAAACCTGATTAACTTATTAAATTAAGTAAAACTAACGTACAAACATTTGTAGTCATGATATTTTTTTTACAGGAGTTCGCTATAATGAACTACATAGACTACAGCTCCCATGGTTCCACACTGCATCATCCAAATATGCCTTTGTTTGTTGTGAATACACGCCCTCTAGTGGCAAAAACTAAATACTGTGCCTTTAAGACTAAAAAATTGATAATAACACCTAAAAATATTTAGATTTTAGGGCAACTCATAAGGTAAAAGACCAGCTTACCAAAGTCAACCAGCTTGATTCCTCCTATCATGATAATACGTTTTAAATACTTTAAATGAACATGATTTATGCAGAAGTTCGATATAATGAAGACTACAACTCTCATGTTTCACTGAAGTCACTGTGTCATCAAAAATGCCTTTGTTATTTGTGAATATGCACCCTCTAGTGGTGAAAATTAAATACTGTGCCTTTAAGACTAACATATTGATAATAACACCTACACATTTTTGGATTTCAGGGAGATTGTAAAGTAAAAGACCAACTTGCAATCCAAAGTCAACCAGCTTGATTCCTCCTATAATGATAGTTAGAATATTGAATGCTTTAGCTCATCTATGAATGTGATTTCTGCAGGAGTTTGATATTATGAAGACTACAACTCCCTTGATTCACTGAAGTCACTGGGTCAACAAAATGTGCCTTTGTTTGTTGTGAATACATGCCCTCTAGTGGTGAAAGTTAAATAATGTGCCTTTAAGACTGACATACTGATAATAACACTTAATAATATTTCGATTTCAGGGGTACTAATAAAATAAAAGACCAGCTTCCTCACCAAAGTCAACCAGCTTGATTCCTCCGTCCGTGGTGAGCAGGATGTTGTTGCCCTTGACGTCTCGATGGATGGTCTTATTGACGTGCAAATGTTGAAGACCCTTCAGAGAAAATAAGCACATGTTACAGACTCAAGCAAGTGAGATGGCACAATAAGATCTATATTTGTTTAAAAATGCTTAAAATATAGAGGGTCAGGGTTGGTTATTAAGCTTTACCATGAGCGCTTCATGTAGAATAAAGGCTATGATGGGTTCCTCCATGCGATCTCCTCTTTTTAGCATACCTTTGGCCAGATCTGTGACAGACCCTCCGTTACACAGCTGCAAACAAAAGAATACATGAATTATTCAATTAGATAATTGCAGGAAAACACGCATACACACAGACACAAACACATTGTTTGTATTGGTGGTTTACAGGGACTCATAGATGTAATGTTTATAATGATTTTTATACTGTACAGACTGTATATTTTAACATTTTCAAAATACTAAATTCTGTGTGATTTATATGCCTCTTTCCTTATGGGGACCAAAAAAATGTCCAGACAAGATCAAAAATTACTGGTACTACTTGCGGGGACATTGATCCTCACAATGTAAGGAATACAACATACACACACAGACTCACATAGACACACACATTTATTTATTAATTTATTTGGTAACACTTTAATTAAGGTATAAATGCAATGAAATCAATAATATGCAATTTGCTGAATTTCTTTTAATTTTATTTGTATTTTTTTTTTTTTTGGACAAAAGTACAAAAGTAAAGATTTCCAATGATTTCATGCTTTGTGTGTAAGCAAGCTATATTTATAAACGAGATCCCAGATGTTGAAAATGTATGGCTCATCATGAAAAGGCAAAACAGGTAATGATAACCAGTGACTGTTGAGCATCGGACGTTTTGTATTTAGGGCAGATTGAGCAAAAAAAATAATTAAAAAAGTGTCACCGATTTCCAGATAGTAAAACATAAGGATGGTTGATGTCAAACTATGTTCAAAATGCCTCCGTCCCAACTTTTTTGGAGTGTGTTGCAGGCATCAAAATTTAGCTTGTTAAATTTCTAGAATACAACCTTTTTCCTCAACGAAAAAAGAAAGTATTTACTTTGTATATTTGAAATCAGCATTTTCTTGATTGTATTGCATTTAAAAACAAAACATTTCTGGAATTCAGGTTTTACAAGCAAATATAGGAACTAGCCCTAAATACTCTAACTGCACCCTAACACTCCCAGAAAGCACACAACATCATAAGACGCTAATATTAGGTTAGATGTAGGTCATGACATCAGACCAAAATTCATTGTCTAGCCAGCATGTAAGGCCAACATTATTTTGACATCCAATAATAACGTCAGATAACATTGATATTTGGTTGAATTTAGGTTGTGTTGGAAAGTGACCAAAGTCCAATGTCTGATATATGTCATAGTGGTAATGTCCACACAACGTCAAGGTGTAACATGATTAGACATAATATTTGGTTGATTTCAGGTTGGACATTGACGTCGGCCTGACGTCAACCCAACTTTTATTTCCAAACAAAATCCAACGTCCCCACTATGTTGGGGTAAGTTGGAGAACAACGTCAATACGCAGCCTGATCTCATGAGAAAACGCAAGTATTTTACGTTTTGGCAGTTTAGTGGCTAATTTGGATGAATTCGTACGAGTTTAGTCGTACAAAATTGTATGATTTGAAAAAGGAGGCGTGGCACCTAACCCCACCCCTAAACCCAATCGTCATTGGGGGATGAGGAAATCGTACAAAATTTTACAAATTAGATTGTACGAATTGAAACGAATTAGCAACTAAATCAAAAAGTTACGAAGTGCCATGAGATTGTGTTGACGTCATGTTGATGTCTTTAGCCTGCAGTGATAGCATGCATTCATTCATTTTCCTTAGGCTTAGTTCCTTTATTCATTAGGGGTTGCACAGTGAAATGAATCGCCAACTTATCCAGCATATATTTGACACAATGCATGTCCTTCCAGATGCAACCCAGTACTGGGAAACATCCATACACACTCATTCACACATTGCGGCCAATTTAGCTTATTCAGTTCACCTATTGACCTTATTCTATGCGATTGTTCAAGAACTTCCAATTCAGTCACCTATGGGAGAAATGACTAGGATTTATAAACGTCAGAAAATGGTCAAACTTGCTCTACAAACAAATGTTTGCATGACTATACAGACCAAAAATAATACAATAAGGAAATATCAGTTTGCAGCATCAAACAGCGAAACGAGCAGTTTTTAATGTCTAAAAATGAATGAAAGTGAATGAGACCGGAAGTCTCGAGCCAAAAAGATTCAAATGGCTGCACCCACTCGTCGGTGAAGAATAAGGTGAATAGCGCTAGTCTTTGGACTGTAAACCGGAGCACCCAGAGGAAACCCACGCCGAAGCTGCAACCCACACAGAAGCCTAACCATAGAAAATACATGTAATTAAATCATATTACTCATTAGTAACATTAATAATTATGCTGTAACAAGGAAACCTTAAAATATAACGAATGTCTACACCTATATCGCAATATAATTTGTTTCTGGTAAAAACACAAGTACACAAATAATTCCTAATAAAAAAATAAAAAAGGTCAAACTGATTTTCTTGAGATCAACTGCTTTTAAAAGGCATCAAATCACGTATCAAACATTATATTCACAATACATATTATTACTTTTTTCCTTTCATTGAGGAGGCTGAACATACAATAACGCTATTGTAAAACAGGACAAAGAGATCTTAGTATTAAATCGTACAGTGAGGCATATTTAAAATGTTTTAGTTTCAATGTGTAAAAAATGTTTGTTTTATAGATGCGGAATTCTATAAAGCAAATTTAGGGGGTTGATGCTGTTTGCTTATAATCAATGCTAAATGCTTGCCTTCAGTCAAAGGACACCGAGGTGAAAATGGTTCTTTTTTTCCCCAGACAAGCCTTCTTGAAATTACATAAAATGGTCTAGCATGTTGCCAAGGCAACAACAATACCCTGTTATTTAGAGCCATTTAAATCGACCAAAGGCAAACACGTCTGTCTTCGGCCCGCTGCTATTGTAATGGGACAAAATGTTTGTATGAATGCTCCGACAATCTCTTACTCGCTGTACTCCAAAAATCCATTCTCTTCTATTCTGATGAAAAAGAAATACAGACGCAGTGATGTGCACCTTGCTGTTCGAGAAAAAAAACACATCTAGCCAATAAAGGAAAAAAAAAAGAGCAAATTGGCCCTAACGTTACTAATGCAACCAATTACAAATCCTTTGAAAACAATCTGCTTGATCCGGCCTTTCAGCAGAACGCTGAACACTTCAAAGAGAACATCAATGACTCGCATCACTTCATGTCCCGAGAGGGCATTTACATGTTCAAATACATTTACGTCTTTTCTGAGGAGTTTGGCTGGGTGGGCGGATAGACTTGATTAAGCAGAAAACTCTTTAGAGCTGACTATATGTAAAGCTGAACTGTATAATTCCTTATGCTTCTAGCAATGAGGCGTGCAATAAGGATTGAGTTAAAATAGGAGGATGTGACTTACTAGGGTTCCATTTTAGGTTTAGTTGCTTGTGATAATGATGGCAAGGCTTTGTTTTTACATACAGTGCTTAGCATATATACGTTCACCCCTAACAAATCATTCATTCATTCATTTTCTTGTCGGCTTAGTCCCTTTATTAATCCGGGGTCGCCACAGAGGAATGAACCACCAACTTATTCAGAAAGTTTTTACGCAGCGGATGCCCTTTCAGCCGCAACCCATCTCTGGGAAACATCCACACACGCATTCACACACACTCATACACTACGGAAGAAACCCACGCAAACGCAGGGAGAACATGCAAACTCCACACAGAAACGCCAACTCAGCCGAGGCTCGAACCAGCGACCCAGTGACCTTCTTCCTGTGAGGCGACAGCACTACCTACTGCACCACTGCTTCGCCCCCTCACAAATCTATCTTTTAAATTCATATTTTAATAAGAAGCTATACAATATTATATTTGTTCATATACATTGAATTAGTCAGTACTGAAGCCAAATCTGGAGCTTATCTAACAAAATAACTTTTGATAACAGTCCAAAAACGAGTATACCCAAATTTATGTTATGAAAAAATATTAAACACAAATGTTAAAAAGAGGAATAATCAAGAGAAGCAGAAAAATGAAAAAATTAGTTTATTTTTATTTTTTTGCAATGTTTTGCTTGATTTTAAATGTATATATTTCAATTTCTATTATGTTTGGTGACTAAAATATTATTTTAACAAATATATTAAAATTACATTTAATATTAAAACCTGGAATCTAAGTGTTTAAAAAAAAATCTAAATACTAAGAAAATCACCTTTGAAACTGTCATTATGAAGTGCTAAGCAATGCACATTACTAATTACTAAAAAGGTGGAGCCATCTGGAATAGCAAAGAACGCATTCTTGCAGGACTCATCCAAATTCTTTTCAATGCCTCCTCCTTCATGCTCAATAATGTCCATGTCTGGTAACTGGACTGGCCAATTCTGGAGCACCTTGACCTTCAATGCTTTCATGAACTTTGATGTGGAGGTATTTTGGTCTTCAGTTCTTTTTTTCTACTGGATTGAGTTCAGTTTATTGGCTTGGCCATTCTAGCAGCTTTATTTTATTTTCTGAAACCAGTTGAACCTTTCATTGGCTGTGTTTGAGAACATTGTCTTGCTGAAATATCCACCCTGGTTACATCTTCATCATCTGGTAATGTAGGTGTTGGGACTGAAGAAGCTAATATAAATTTTTAGTGAAAATCGGTAGATTTGCCTTCCAACTACTGAGTGATAAGAGAGACAGCTGCTGTCTGGGCTTTCCATGCCTTTTTACACCTCCTTTTCTTCATGTGTTCAATACTTTTTACCCTGTGTCATTTCACTTTATTACACATAATATCTAAACTAATTAGTTTTATTTTCTTAAAATTAAATAAAAAATCATTATGTATGAATTATATTGGTTGTTACCAACATGTGGTGAATATTTAAAGTCAACATTCGTTTAGAAATGTTTTTTAAAAAAACAAAAAAACAAAAAAACAAATGTTAACTGAGAAAACTGGTATACAGTATATACAGTATACAGTTTATACAGTATATACAGTATTTAACCCTCTCTCAGCTTGTTTTGGACATCCAGGATTGATAAGTGGTACACTGAAAGTGTTGTTTGTTATTGGATTGGGCAGGAAAGGTGAAATGTGGACACTTGAACAACAAGGTACAGTATGTTTGTGAGAGTGGAGTATTCCCACA